CCCCCAGCCCCCCGCAAAGTTTCAAGAGGATTTTTGCCATTGACTTCAATGGCCCCATTGGTTACAATGGACCCGAATTTTTCGGGATTCCCGAAAATTTTCGGATATCTATGCTTTACCGGTATAGATATTCGGGTTTTTTCGGGTTTCCCGAAAAAATTCGGGTCCAATAAACCCGAATCCGAATTTTACCGAATTTTTTTTTTTTGCACATCCCTACTTTTGTATGATGGTAGAAGACCATGGAAAGATCATTTGTGGTCACTTGGAGAGCAGGCTTCTAAATCCTTAGGGACTGCTCATTAATGTAGCATGTTCTGTAAAAACGAATAATCCCCAACACAAGAGATATCGATGTTGACCCAGGCAAAGCCTTACATGATTTTGCTGTATGTCTGATCTGCTGGAATCGCACTCCTAGTCCTCCCCCTTCCAAAAGTGGAGACTAAAGTACCAAAGCACAAACCTCTTTCTTTTTTGGATGGCTTGCCTTTAGTTGTCACAGACTTCTTTTTTACTGGTTGGGGAGGGGAGGAATGTTCTCTCCACCTTCTTAGCTGAAAATTAATGAACTTCCACATCATAAAGGCTTGAGTTAAACAGATGGAGGCCAACACGCTGATTCTACAAATGAAAGAGAAACTATTAGAATGTTGGAAGTTATCTAAATCTAGAGACAGCAAAGCTCAGGGTGTCTGTTGTGGGAGGGGAAGGAAAAGGAGATTGCAAGCCACTCTGAGACTCCTTCAGGTAGTAAAGGGTGGGATATACATACAATCTCTTCTTCATTTACATAACTTCCCCATTATCTGGGCATTTTGCAAGACCTAATCAGGTAAAAGTTTGGTCATATTCTGGCAAGACGATTCAAACCAGTCTAGTTTAGGCCAAATGATCATTATAAGCAAGGAGACAACTGAACCTGAATCTTAACTCATAAACTGATTCAGAGCAGGGTTTTTTTGTTTGTGTTTTCCCTGTGAACCATAACTGAATCTGAATGGAAAGTGTCTCAGTTGCTTTGAATTTCAGCTGAACCTGAAGACAGAAAAAAAAGTGAGTTCAGGTTCAGGCAGAAAAAAGCTCCCTCAACAGGGAGGACGTTCAAATTAACTCCCTGTTTTAAAGAACTGGTGGTTTAAACAACCACCCTTGGTTTAATCCAGCAGCATTCACCTAGCCAAGCATCTTCCCAGCTATGGGTAGCCACGTGACTTATTTATGTTTTCTCTGGAAATATAAACACTATAGCCCTCAGGCAACTGGAACACAGAGGTACATTGCCTCTGAACGTGGAGTTCACATTAACTACGGTGGGTAACCACCAATGATAAACAGTAAAACTTACCTGATTGGCAGCACATTGAAGTTTCCAGAACTAACATCCAATGTTTGATTCTCTGCTCTAGCAAGGCCAAATCCAACAGTGAGGACAGAAAGAATCAAGGTCAGAAGTCTTCCCAACACAAAAAGAATTGCCCAAAGTGAAAACCTAGAAGAAGCAAATCCAGAATTAGCATCTGATCACTGTGCCGTTTATCCACCAAAATGCTCCTTACTTTTAAAAATACAAAATCACAATGATATACATTGAAGTTTTTATTGAACTGAATAATTACCACCAATGTAGGTAACTGATATTTCCAGAAGCCAATGACATCCTGGGCACATTTTTATGTTGTAAGTTATTCCATGTACTTACCCTTTTTGATATTTTTCATCACTGAAGTAAAACAGTCTAGATATGTGGAAGAGAAATTCCACAAAGTAATGCAACACAAGGAGAACCAGCCCAAGATGGGTCAAACTGTTAAAAAACAAAACAAAAACAGGGTATGGTGATAATTGGTCAACAATTGGTTTTCACTTGCCTATTTGCATTCCATTTATTTGTACTGCAACTACTTCACTGAAGGCTGAATTAATGAAATTAGGTATATGCATTCAGGGCACAGGTCTTGCTAGCTTGATCCCTAAATATATTTTGAAGTATGTCAGGAAAGGTGTAACGAAAATGAAAAGTATAGCTTAACAAGATCAAATAGGTATAAGTCACTGTTCTATGTTTGAGGTTGAAACATTTACCTGTTGCCAAAGATGGGGGGAAGACAAAAACATATATTGTAATGCAATATTTGTTTAAGATATTAAGGCTGCTACGGAAATTCCAAACAAATTCTACTATCAACATTGATTCCTAAACTTGCTTTCAATAGAATCAGAAAACCTCAGCTGAAATGTAACACCTCCCTCGTGACCTCCCTTGGGTCCTACCAGGGCCCAATGAAACTAGGTAAGTCTACTACATAATTTTGTCTCAAATTTCAGTATTCACTCAACTTCTGCATTTTGTTTGCGTGTTTTTACTAAAGGAGGGGGAAGGGGAGAAATGTAAGATTACTTAAATGTTAAAAAATTATTTAATAGCATTACAGTTATTCATTATCACATATGTATCCTACACTTCGTACACGGAAATAAAGACAGCGTTAGTCAGTAATGTTAATATAGATTGAAATCTGTCCAAATCACTCACTTTAACAGATAAGCTCCTGTGATATGGAAAAGATACAGCCCAATATAAACAAGTTGGCGAGGAATGTCTTCCTACAAAAAATAAAGCATATATTTTTAAAAGCACAATAGGGAAACATCACTAACGGCTATTGCCAGTTGCTGGATATTGTCCAATCACCACAATCTTTATTTCTCTTTTATTCTGTTTCAACTAGATCATTTTGAATTTTTTAGTACCACGGAATCTTGCTGAATGCTAATCCATCAATGTTCGTTGTACATAAACTTTTAAAGTATGATGGATTCCAACTTTAAGACATTTTTATCGTCTGCTCCTATCCTGAGTATTGCTTTATGATTATCATCTTAGGCTACTGTTTATTTATTATTCTCACACATTTTCATTTGTGTGATGTTACTGTATTCCCTGCCTTTCTGAAGCCAAACATGCAAAACATCAGAGAAAATTATTAATGTTCGAAGTTAAAAGATAAGCACAAGGCAGCATTAAAGAACACAGATTCTCGAAGCACTGCCATCTGTGAACAGACTGGTTGCAACCAGCTACTTTAAAAATAGTTTCCAAGTTCCTGTTCCTCTTTACTAGTTAAATAAATGAGAACATTTGTGTAGACTTACTTTTTTTGTCTTCTGGAAGTAGAGTTCTGGAAACGCATGGAACCAGTATGCCAACTGTGAGATGTAGAAAAACTTCATTTGAAACCTGCATAACACAGTAGAAATATTTAAAATTCAAACGTATTTCATGTAAGGGTGTATTAACATGAGGTGTTACACTGAAGACTCATCTGAAACTTCTCTCATGAACTTATTTATTTCATTAGATTTCTGGATCGCTTGCGCAGGTCTCAAGGCGATTTGCAACAGAATAATTCAGTACATTATAAAACCAATCAAAACCATAAAAAATCAATATTAAAACATTCAAGCATTTCAGTATTAGAAGACATTTTAAGAACAAGATGTCATATCTAGCATTCAGTCATGGGGGAGAAGGGGGGGGGGTGCTGGGCAGATGTAAATAACAGTCGCTGGCCTCAACCAAGCGTTGCAAGCTGTGGCTGGTTGGCTTAGACTGAGCCGACTGAAATTGAATCTGATGAAGACGGAGGTCTTGTGCCTGAGTTGGGGCAGTCTGGGTGTAGGGATCCCACTCCTGACATTCGATGGGGCACAGCTGGTGCCAGCGCCAGAGATCAGGAGTTTGAGAGTGCTCTTAGATGCCTCCTTAACAATGGAGGCCCAAGTAGCAGCCACTGCCAGGTCAGCCTTTTATTATATTCGGCTGATTAGGCAATTGGTTCCCTTCCTTGAACGCAACGACTTGGCAACAGTGATCCATGTGATGGTCACCTTGAGGCTGGACTACCATAACGTTCTCTACATGGGGCTGCCCTGGTCTCAAATCCGGAAGCTGCAACTAGTGCAGAATGCAGCAGCCAGGCTGCTGACAGGTACCCCCATGTGTGAGCATATCCAGCCTGTACTGAGGACACTGCACTGGTTGCTGATAGCATACTGGATTCGCTTCAAGGTTTAAGCCCTATATGGTCAGGATCCGGCATATCTGAGGGACCTTTCCCATGTTCCCTGGAGAGCATTGCGTTCAGGGGCGCAAAATCAGTTGGCCCTTCCAGGCCCCAAGGATGCTAGGCTAGTAACAACCAGGGCTAGGGCCCTCTTGGTTGCAGCTCCTTTCTGGTGGAATGAGCTCCTGGAAGAGATCAGGGCCCTACGGGACCTCTTCCACCAGGCGTTTAAGGAAACACATCATACACTGAGAAGTGTCCCTGTGCCCTGGCTTTACAACCTTTGCCAGCCTGTGTCCTGGCCTTACCATTGCAATCTTCAGCCTACACCCGCCACATAACAAGTGACCGAACTGAGCTGGTGTGAATTTATAGGAATTATATGGTCACCAGTTTTCCCTCTAAGCTGAGTTAGTGTGAGCTAGCTCACAGTTTTTTAGCTTCCAGCTCACACGTTTTTGTCTTAGCTCAGGAAGGATGGCTCCAAAGCAAACTACTTTATGCAGTAGCCAAATTGCTCGATCACAACTTTCATGCCAGTAGCTCACAAAGTAGAATTTTTGCTCATAAGACTCTACAGCTTAGAGGGAGCATTAATGGTCACCTAAGTAATCTTTGCTCCTGTCTACTTGATAATGTTCCAGCATTTTAGTTGTATTTTAAATTATCGGTATTTTATGTTTATGATTATATGTTATGATAGGTTTTAATTGATTTTTTATGAAGTATCTGTAAGCTGCCCTGAGCCCGTCTTGGCGGGGAGGGCGGGGTATAAATAAAAAATAAATAAATGAACCAAAGGCCTGGACGAACATCTCTTCCTTACATGGCCCTGGTTGAGGCCAGCCAAATACCTTTGGGGCCGGGAATTAGCAGTTTCAAGAGTGATGGTATAGTGGCAACTGTTGGCCACAGAATACCAACACAGAGATACTGAATTTCTGGAGCATTCATTAGAAGAACAAGGCAACATATTTTCTCCATCTTCTTAATACAGAGTCACCTGAATACCTTTAAGCAGTTATTTGATCTGTTAAGTAAAACAAACAAATAAACAACGAACACTATGGTACATACGGCATCATTGTATGTGGATAGTCTCGCCAGAGTGAAGTCGGATCAGATATATAGTTCTCCTGAAATTCCATCATATTGATACTTTTTACTGGCATGTAAGGTAAATTCTTCTGTCAAATGCCTTAAATAAAGTGCAACTGCTACCATCTCTCCCCAAATGAAAGAAAACAGAACATTTCAAAAAGCAACAAACAGGAGACTGCAAGACTAGTTTAATCAGACCAGCTCCCAGGCAAGAACACTGCACAAGGCTTGATTCCCAAGAATCCGTCCAGCTGCTAATCATGCTGACCCAATCCCAGCCCCACACTTTCTAGGCTGTACCTGAAAATGAACTAAGTCTCATATCCCCTTATAGAAATGCATATCACTGCACTATTTTTGATACAGTAAATCAGTTACAAGATGAACCAGGGTTAAAGTAGACTAGGTAAACTTCCAAATCAGTTTATTCTAAGTATATGAAGTGAAATACTCACAGACACAAGAATGCTGGTTCCCCAAACACAGGAGAAAAGGTAGAATGCACTGAGTTGTCCAGATTCATTGAATTTGCTGTGCTTTGTTTTGGAAAAGTGCATTCGCCTGTTAATTTTCTAAAAGAAAAAAATTATTTAGCTTCATATTCATGACAGGTTTCATGACAGATTTGTTAAGAACCTATCTGACATGCCAGGTTCTAATTTTCAATTTCTGAAGTCTACAAATGCACATGTACAATCAGTTATCATGGCAGTAACATACTTTGTACAGTCCCAAAAGAAAATACTTACATCTAACACATATTCTTGAATAATAGCATGTATAATTATTGCTACCAACATGTAGAAGAAAACAGTAGCCAGATCTTTGATGCCATAGTGATACAGTGTGACTGTTTCCACAGGCTGGTCTTCTGAAGAAAAAAAAAAGAGAGTGAAGTCATAAACAGGTTATTTTAACTTCATCCTCTATCCAGTTTACACCTGGAACTGAGGAATAAGAAATAAATTGTTACCATTTTGTACTAAAAAAAGAATGCTGTAAAATACAGTCTACGTTCTTTATTTCTAGTTAGTAAACAGCACTGTTAATAAGCAGAACTCAATATGACAGTCCATAAAGTTTACTTCTGGATGAAAGCAACTGATACTGATGCCTAATATTTGCTATGTTGTCCACAGGCTACTAAGTGAACGGGTTGGGTCAATAAACTGTGAGTGAAGCACAGTGGAAAAGAGTTCATATGACTGATCTTCCCCAGCTCCTTCTTTCTGCAGCCTTCCACAGCCCCCCAAAAGCCACTTCTGAGGCTGGGGTACCCACACTTGTAAATGTGCAGAACGCAGTAACTCAAGAATGAAATCTGGAGGGACTCCTAAATCCTGCTCAGGTCTCCAACTCATAGGACAGATCTGGATCAAAATCAATCAAAATCAATCTTGCTTCTGACCAACAGCTACTTTGAACCAGAACATCTGCTGTGATGTTTCTTCATGCTTTTCATGATTTGCAGTTATTAGAGTGTTAGAACTGCGTCTGGGGGAGCCAGGCTGAAATCTCCACTTTGGCATGAAGCTGCTAAGTGACCATGGGCTAGTCATACACTCTCAGTCTAACCTGCCTCACAGGATAATGTGGAGGAGCACAAGACAATACATGCTACACTGAGCTCCTTTGAAGAAAGAATAAAAATGCACTAAAATAGCCACTGGGCTAATGTAGCATATGGCACATGATCTCATGAGAAAATATCTGTTGGTGCAGCAAGTCATAGAAATGGCGATTGCCAGTATGACGACATATTAGCAATGTAAGAAGACAAACCTCCAAGTATTTACATTGAACTTTACCTGTGGCAGAAATGGTAACATTGTATTGAAGTGTAACAAAGACAACAGCTGCTTTTGCTGTAACCTGAAACAAAATAAAGCAGAATAAGCTACTACTATAGAAAAACACATTGTGTCTTAAGATGCAGAAGCAGTACACCACTGAAATAAAATTAATTGGCTTAAATCCTATATGAATGAACCACATATAACCATAACCTGAGATAGATTCAATTTGGCTTAGCTAGAATGCAAGAATACTGAACACAGGATTATGAGAAACAGCTGGCATAACGCTTTGGTATACTTTAGCAGAATACCCAATAGTCCAGAACTGCAGCTAAATGCTCAGATTTACTGCCCACCTGTAAACACCTGCACCTGTGTTTAAAGGTAGACAGGCTTTTTAAAATAAGTACCTTTGGAATGATGATTTGGGCATTTAACTGCAATTCTAGATTACTGAGTATATCGTCAGATTTCGGAAGCTAAGAAGGGTTGGCCCTGGCTAGAATTTGTATGGGCAACCTCCAAGGAATACCAGGGACATGATCAGAGGCAGACAATGGCAAACCACCTCTGAAATGTCTTTTGCCTTAAAAACAAGCCTAGCTCACCACCTAGTAGTGCATAATGCTAAAAGAGCTAGAACTGCTGGCTGCCAGACAATCTTAGGATCTCCTGGTTATACTACACACACTGCCATACAATAATAATTATTATTACCTGCACCTGTCATTTGTGGACAAAAGAATCATGTCTATAAGCTTTATTACCACATCACCTGGAAGCAATTTTTGCTTGCCATAAGAGAACCAGGCACAGGATCTATCTACCTGATCAAGACAGTCAAATAACTACAGTGAATGCACTAATTACTGATAACCGTGCAAAGCTAGTTAATCTCGACCAGTACTTAATACAACATTTTAAAAATATTTATTTCCAAATTATCTCATGTCTCTCACTAAATTCAGCATCAGGATATGGCGCTGGTTCAACTCCAGCATTTGCACGCTCTTTTTAAAGTAATTTTTAATGAAGGACACACAAAGATCAAATCATCAATTCAGTTTACTGTATGAAATTGCATCTTTTCAAAGTATACGTATGGTACAAAACAGCAACAGGAGGAGCGAACTTTTTACACACTTCTGCCTCTCTCCCAACAGCTGCCATGAGTTCCTAGCATCAAGAACAACCGATAACATTTACCTAGTGAGGGAAGAAAAGCTATAATGAGACTTTAAGAGTTATGCTTTAATTGTTCAACTGTATTTCAAGTTCCCTAGCAGTATTCATTAGGCTACAAAAATGCTGAGTACAAAATCAGGAAAATGGAGGTGGGGAATTAGAAGAAAACGGTTGCAGCATAAGAGAATCAGTCTTTGCAGTTTACAGAGTAAATTTTGCAGTTCACAGTATCTTCAAAGGGAATGTGTGGCAGACTTAGTTCTTTTTTTAAAAAAGCACATCAATTTCTCCTGCTGCTCAGATATTTCTGTAAGTATTATAAAAGATAGGGCTAGCACTTCTGCAAGAAGACTTTAAAGTTTTGCTTTCAGATCCTTTACACTAGAGCAGTTGTGGGTCTGCTTTGGGAAAAAACCAACCCTGTGAAGATTGAAGCCCCTCCCCCGTACATATTAGGTACCCTGTTGGTTAGAAGTCATTTTACTGTTTTCTCACAGGTCCAAAGATGGTTTTCCCTTTTAACCCAGATTGCAACCCTGAGCCACCACATGCACTTTTTTTGGTACGTGGTGGGCATGGAAGAATTCCTAGCTGAGTGCACCATATGGAAGCCCTTCAGTCCACTGAGGGTTCTCTATGTACACGTCACCGTCCACTTCACCTTCCGCGGAGCCGTGGGGAGAGGAGGGGCCGCTTGCCGCAGCGCCCCATGGGGTTTTTAGTTCTGCCCCGGTAAAAAAAAAAAAAAAGACAGGGGGCCCTCTCCGCCTCCTCCTCCATCTCTGGCAACCCGAGACCAGCCTGCTCCCACTACTACACACTCCGCCCCACACCCCTCTCCGCCCGCCCCCCCCCCATCCTGGAGCCTGCCAACCCTCCCCGCCCTCCCCACAGTGCTCGCGCTCCGAGTGCCACGTAACCTTGCCGAGACCAGGAACTGCTCGGCAGGCAGGGAGCCGTGCACGGGAAAGAGGGAGGCGTGCGTGGCGGAGTCCCTCTCGCAAGGTTGGGACCACGGCTGTGCCCAGAGCAAGCCGGCTGAGCCCGGCCTCTCTCTTCTCGCGTGCCCGCCTCGGTCCCTCGTGGGGGGTCCTCTCTCTAGAGGAGCGGGAGGGAAGGAGGCAGGCGGCCAGGGACTGAAGCGGCTGCTGCAGCCCAACAGCAGAGAGGCTGAGTTCAGGCCCGCTCGAGGAGGGAGGGCAGAGGCCGACCGCCACGCTGGGCAAAGGGGGTGGCTGCCGGCAGGATGAGGCACCACTCCGGCCGCCCGCTGCTGCTCCCCACGCTTGTCCACGCAGCCTGGGCGGGCTCGGAGAAACGGGCTCCCGCGGGAGGTGTCCGAGACGCCCGAGAAATTGGCCGGATGCTCGCGGGGCATGGGAGGAGAGGCCACGGAACCTCTGGTCCACCCCGGCTCCCCAGGCTATGGGGCGCTTTGAAAAAAAACCCCTGAACCCCCCACGCCCCCCCCCCCGGCCACTACAGGCAAGACCTAAAAGGCGAGAGAGGACGGGGTGCACACAGAGCCGCACGCTTCATTCCCACTAGCCTACGACAGGAACAGGGGGGCGTGATAAAGAGAGGGTCCCTGGCGGCGACCGCGGGCACCAGAAGCCTGTTCCCGTTTTGTTTCGAACTGGCTGGCGAGGAGGAAGAGAGACGTCGCCGAGA